TCAAAGGTTTTTATGGGTCTAATACCGTATTGAGTTTGTTGCATCATCAAAGTAGTACAGAGAAGAAAGTCATTCAGAAATGGTAGTTATAGTAATTATTGTAGATTTAATTTTTTTTTTTTTTTTTTTTTTTTTTTTTTTTTTTTTTTTTTTTTCACCACCGCCACCACCACCATCACCACCTTGTAGTCATCATCTGAAAGACACAAGAACTGTATCATATTTGTCAAATTTTCTTATGGGAGTACCAAATCTTAACCCGCAGGCTCTGATCCTGAACTTGGTGTAGGAGCGGACCTGGGGTTGCAAGAGAACACCGGCACAAAAATCATTCCGCCCGGATCCCAGCTGGTGGTTGGAAACAGTAAGTTATCAGGGCAGTTATGTTACATTATTCGGACAGTCACAATGAGAGAAAAGGCACTTCATTTGGGAATGTTTTGAAAGAACTCCTTTGTTGGTATTTTCATCTTTGTCTTTATAATCATTATCATTAGAAATTAGTTAGTCATTAGAGGTGGTATGGTTGGATAAGGATCAAGTTTATTACCTCAATAAGTATCTTTATGAAAGTTTAAGATTTTTTTTTTTTTTTTATCCATATGATCCAAATGATTCTTTTTGTTTTAAATAAAAAAATAATTATATCATATCTTGTGGAAAACTGTTTGAAATATCAGTTATATGTAGGAACTAATTTTTATCTTCTTCTTCTTCTTCTTCTCCTCCCTCTTCAGTACAAGAATAATCATACCATGTACCTAGTAGCACAGTTTGAGGGGAGTCTTCATTGAAGTGTTAATGCTGTTCACCTTTTGCAGATGACTGTAATTTTGAAAGGAGCACCAGCGTCTCCTCAGATTCCTCAGGGTCCTCTCCTGAAGTACAGGTGCCTCTTCTGCCCGAGTATCATCAGCTGCCGAACTTCACTGATTTTCCAGAGATTCAGTATGAGCCCCTTACAGATGGTGCCAACATCGCCAACAAGAAACTGGTAAGTCTCTAGTGCTTTTGTAAATTGTTGTGTTTAAGAGTGATAAGTTAGTCCCATTTTTAACTCTCCTTGTATTCTATTTTTTAAGATATATAATTTGCTTGATATTAACATTTTTTAACATAATCCTCTATAGTTGAATAATAATCTGTTGATAGGGAGACTTTACATATTTGGTATCCATAAATCTAGAAAAGGATGGAAATTAAATATATGAAGCATTTTTCCATCCTTCATGTTCAGTAGGAAATACCATTCAGCAGACTTTTCTTACTGTGTTCTAACCTGTGCAGCATTTTGGACTCAAAGGATTTCTTTAGATTTTTTCCATACATGCTTTTTGGTCTGTTAATACAATATTATTATGCATTTTATGAAAAATTTTGTTCTTGAAGAAGGAAATGTATTCATTGTTCTGTTCATTTCTGATTGAAATAATTCAAAGCATAAAAAAATGCAGCCTCATTTCAAGACACCTTCTGTGATAATTGAGTCTTAAAACAAACTTTATATTGACTGTTATCAACTTAACCCTTTCTTTACTGCCTGCTCCTCATAATCTAAACAAACTATATCTCTTCTGCATCAACTTGACCATCCCTGTGAGGAGTATTCCATATTCTTCAGCAGCATTCAGACTGTACTCTGTAATTAATATAACTTCATACTGATGATCACAAAGATATAAGATATGCCTATGAAGTAAATTGTTAATGAAAATGGTATATTATATCATGATGAAGAATAGACTCATCATCACCATTGAATGGATAAGCTGTGGCCAGTAGGAGAGAGACAGAAGGCCTAAGCCTGGAAACTCTCCTCTCTTTAGTAGTACTCAAGCAACCCAAGAGGGTATATGGATATCATTAGTTACCACAACACAATGAATTTCCTCTATAGAGAAAAAAAAGATTGTCCAAAAGTGGCTTCAACATATGAGCTGGCATGCTGTAGCTGGAAATTAAGGTTGAAGGCATGTTGATTAAACACCAGCCTATTGCAATAGCAAAATGATTACAATTATATGTATAAAACATTTTTATGTCCTATTTGTTGCCATGCATTTAATATAAGTAGAGGCTGTATGGCATCAGTGCTCTCTGAGAACACTTGTGTATGTTTGAACAGGAAACATAACATAGTAAAGAAGGGGTTAGTGGAATTTTAACTTGGAATAATTGCAGTTGTATAAGGAACTTTATAGTTTCAAACTGAATCCTATATTCCAATTATATTCTTTTTTATAAAGAGCTTTTTTTTTAATTGTAGTAAATAACATGATTAAGTCCAGTTCTAGAACTAATAAGCAAGAAGTAAATGTACTAAGTTTATGGAAAATCATTACATTATTGTAATAACTCACACTATGGTTCCTATTGAAATAGGAGAATTGATATAGGTAGCTATTCTTATCACCAAACTTATTTAAATTAAGGAGTTAATGACTCAGTAACTTCATAGAATAGAGTGATTTTATATAATACGTAATAGCTATACTGGATA